TTTTCAGTGAAAACTTTTGAAAGTGTTCCATTCCTTCCTTAGCCTTCCCCTATCCAGACTAACTACACATCCTTGTATTTAAGCCAGGTTTTCTAGACTTTCATTGTTTTTGCTTTCATCTGGATTCTCTGTAATTAATCCACGTATTTCTTGTAGGACAGTGCCCAGGACTGCATGCAGGACTCCTGTGAAGGCCCTTCTAATAGCCATCGGAATGGAAAGATGACGTGAAACAGTAACTCCACCACCTTCTCAATTCGGACACGTGCCGTGGAAGCACGCCCGGCGAGGTGTCGTGCATTCGTGAAAGCAGAGAAACCATTCACTGCAAACCCCAAACAAGAGACTGCCGAAAAACCGAAGTAAAAAACCAGGCAGCGTTCTGTGTGAATGAACAACCTACACAGAGCAGGCAGGTCTAGTGCCTCCTAGGGACAGCAGACTAACTACCAACTACTAATTATGCTAACTGCTTCACGGATCAGGAACTTCAACAAACTCGAAGTGTTCGATATTGTGTACAGCCAACACCTTCTGCACATTTTTCAAAGCCAGAGCAGAAAATGTACTCCAATAGCACTAGCAGGTCAGTTAGCAAGTGTACCAGAGAATCTTACAGGCTGGTCAGTGGGGTAAAAAAGTAACATTAAAAGCAAGTGTAAAATCATAGCTCTGCAACTGAAGTCACCATCAGCGTAAGAAGATAGTAGGTAAGTGAGTAAGTAACAGCAGAGTACCTGTAGCATAATGGGCTAGTAATGGAGCTGCTTAAGTCAGGGGTGGTACTGTATAGTGGGTATGAAGACAGGGAGACATCTCAGTGCAGCCTCTGGATGCAGCATATAAACCGCACACAGCATTGAGTTACTGGCTTTGGGTTGGGTGCATGCTCAATGCCTGCATAAAACGATTCACCAGATGGAGAGCCGTCCTCTTGGGTTTGCTGATCAGTAAGGCTGCACTCTGTTTTACCAACATACAAGGCAGCCTATGCAAACTCCAGTACCAAGCTGTGCAAATGCATGAAACTGGATGAATATTGTCCTTATGTCTGATCTGGGCTTTTTAGAGTCTGGAGCAGCCACCACCAACCAAGGAGAGGGTGAGGCATGCTCCAGAAGGAGCAGACAACAAGCTTAAAAGCATCTTGAGTCTCTTGAACATCTGCCAGGCTCTTTCCCCTAATACTACAAGTGCAGAGTCCCAAAGCCTGCTCCATCAGTTCACAGGCACAAAGCAACTACTGGCCAACAGCAGACCCCCAGGCCTCAAAGGATGCCATCACAGCACGGGCGTTTCTCACACAACCGGGCACACTTCAAAACAGTTCCAGCAGAACACCCCATGCCGTTACAATTATCAATTAACAAGCCATCAAACTTCGGAAGACCGCGGATGAAGGTGACACACAGGAAAACTCTCACTCTCTTCAGGAGCTCAGGAAAGTGCTTGTCTCATCCTAATTACCTGCACCATTCAGATTTTTGGGCTCAGAAGCAGTCCTACACAGAAGGAAGCTTCTGCATGGAAGTTTATGCTACAGCAGTTCATCATCACATTGAGTCCTTCACCTGCATTCTTCACCTTCTCTGCAGTGGCAGCTCAGGAAGGAGAAATTGATTAATATGGAAAAATACGAGCATCTCGGGCATTAACGTAACTTCTCTCTCAACAAGTACACTTAAGAGTCTCATCTCAGCATACTGAAATATGGACAAGACCATGTTCACTTGCAATTTGCATTAGCTTAGCAGTTTGTTAGTTTATCACTGCTCGCCCTGTGCGTAAGGGCTCTGCTACACCCTGTGTACAGTCTGGACAGAGAGACACGTGCCAGACTTCAAGAGGACTACTTGCTGCTTAGCTCAGACCTTCTCCAGAACTACACCAGAATTAGACTGAGAGGGTGCAAATGTAAGTCTTACATGCTTAAACAGCTTGTTTACTCAGAGTATTTGCGTGCATTCTCTTTCTCCCATCCTAATGTTACATACGTACGCACTTCACCTTTCAAGTCATAGTTCCCTTTCTGTCCAGTCTCCTCTACCGGTGCAGACAGCATGCTGGCCAAATTTCTTAGCTCAGCTTGTATATTACTAGAAAGATTATATAGCTATGCACAGCAGAAAAATTCCTTCTGCTGGCATTCACTGGGTAGACTATGGCAAGCAAATTCAAATCTAGGCAGCAGACTATAAAATATAATCATGTCTACACCTCCTCTAAATACTTCTAATGCCAAAAATAAAGTAGGCTCTAAAGTAGGCCAAAAATACTGTGTTCAGAGGACTTCAAGCGCTGATCCATGTACTTATAGGACATTGCTTGCTCCTGTCTCCAGGGAGCAGCAGTCCTTGAAAGTTTCTCAGAAGCATACACGAAAACGAGCTATCAACAAAGAGGGAAAGGAATGCCTTGAATTTAGCAACCGGTCAGGGGGTGGGGTGAGGAGGGGAGTGGAGAATTCAGAAAAGTGGTATCATTGCTACAGAACAGCAAGCAGACTAGTAAGCACACAAAATGCACACCCTTCTGTGAAAGTTAAGCCCCACAAATGCAGTCTCCCAAACAAGGCACTTTCAACTACTCAACTCTTATGAAATTAAGGAAGGGGGTGAACCCCACCAATAATGCAAGTCTCTGACACTAAGCTCAGAAATATTGAGGACTGCTTCCATGTTTCCCAAGTAACAAAAATGCTAAAGAAAAAGGGAGGAGTACCCAGTAATGGCTCTGAGTAACAGCTATGATAAAAAGCGCCCCAAAATTAGAGAAAGATCACAAGGACAAAAGTCAACATTGTTTTATTGATAAATAACTTTTTCAATATTTTCTCGCAAACATTCTAGCATTACAATGGTAAACAAAGTGCAAATTTTCAGAAAGTCAACTGAAGCCAACAGAACCCAAACTTGTTAAACAAAGCCTTTTCACAGAACACAGATTTTTCAATTTTATCCCCTTTATGTCTTCAAGGCCATATAGTAGTTATACTTCTCTTCAAAGCCTGTTACTTATTTTATTGCTGAAGAATCTGAGCTGCTACATTTCAGAAGTGGTGATTAATCATCCTTTGAAAATTCCACAAGACTTTGAGACACAAAATCATGAATCCATATATCAGTATCTGGAAGAGATGTGTCCACGAGAAAAGTCACTATTTTTCGATCCCAAGAGTTAGTGCTTTCATTAACTGCCTGTATCTGCGCCACCAAGGGTTTCTTCTCTACAAGATTCCGAAACACTATTGATGCTTCTTCTGACCACTGCTGGTTTTTCACTCCTAGGACAGATGTAAAGCAAAACAGAAGGTCATTTATAGACTAGACCAATCTGAATGATTACGTTTATAAAGTAGTGTGGGGAGTTTAAATACTTGAGAAAACAGATGTTCAAGTGCTACTGAATGCAGTTTAACTCTAGAAAAAGAAACACAAGCTCACTCATCCCCTACACAAACAAGCTTAATTATTACAGAGACTAGGACATTTATTTTTTCTTGAAGTCTAAAGATACGGACAAGTTTGCAGAAGTGAAAGGCAAATGCACTGACTCACTGAGTAATTCAAAGTATATCAGCTGCCATACCCGATCAAGGCATATTAGGAAACACGACAAAAAGGAAACTAAAGATTCTTTCAAAACAAACTATTTCTTTGTCTTCTGCCTGAAGGTTGCTGAAATTATTTGTCCTCTTGGCCTTGCTTTAGATTAAGTTTTCTTCATCTCAAAGCACCATCAGCTACTAAAACATCTACCAAACCTTCAAGTCCCAAACTAGATCTGTAGAGAGCAGAAATGAAGAGAAACGCCACCTTAATGCCTCACAACTGCTGCTATTTTTTTGAAAGCAGCATCCCACAAAGTCAAGTCTGCTCAGGGATGTGATGCTAGAACCCAAACAGGTTTTTGAATATGGCTGTAATCCACCAAGAAAGAAGTGGCTTCTGCAGACTTGGAATTCAGTCTCCCCAGTCCACCGCTGGTGTACGGCATCTAGACACAAGGGGCTCAAATATCATGCACGAATACCTGAACAACAACTTATGGATAAAAGAAGCAAAACAGTAAAGTGACAACACTTTGCTTTTACTATTAGCAGCAGCTTGCTGCTGATAGGACAGGACAACACAGGAACACAGCTCCTTGCGGGTTACAGAAGGAATGAGAAGTCAACAGTTCACCAACAGTTAAGAAAGGGTAATTAATGCTAGGAAAGGCTGGTGGGGAAGCAAATGGGATTTTACAAGAAAATAGACCAGAGATTGAGAGGTAGCAGACATGAAAAAAAGAGAGAAAAAAGTGGAAGAATAGCAAGACAATAGTTACCGGTCTTCCGGGAACAGCTGGCCTGCTTTGACAATATGAAGCAGCTCAGAGGCCAACTTAACTAGCTACTTGGGATTCTGTGCAGCAGGAAAACTGGATGACTTGCAGGCTTGCTCAGCTGGATCCTGTACTACCCCAGCAGACAGACACAGCTAGAAATCAGCTTCATTTCAGCACTGCACTCCTAGGACCCCAGCCTGTCGGTAACACATCCATCATCACTAGTTTAAAGCAACCTCCAAGGTCACATGGAGGCTATGCAGGAAAGCAGATTCACAGAAGGCAACCTATGATCAGAGCACCAACTCCGTGGCCTGTCGCTTCAGACAAGTATGTTCTGTAACTGAAGTCTAGACTAGTGCTGACCAAACAGTGGCAGAAAGCAGCAACTGAATAAGAAGAGACGCATACATCTGAAAGCAATGCAGAAACGAAAGAAAAATTTGGAAAAGGAAAGAAACGACAGCAAGGAGAGATCAAGTTTTATTTTTTTTTATTCTATCAGATGTATGCAGACTCTCTGTGCTCCATATTCTCAAGGAAATTAATCTTACTTAAGTCTGTTGAAAGCCGCCACCCCCCTTGCCGAGTTTTTTTTGTTCGTCTGTTTGAGAACACCAATATATTTCGGGCAACTTTGGATTCCAAATAGGGACTAGAAAACAGTAAATTACAATAGGGGCAAGATATGTAAGAAAAACTTCTCCAGAAACTCAGTATCTAGATCCTAACTTTATGTAGATTAGGATAATCAGAACATAAGTTCTTATCAACAGATACATCATAACTTTCACACTTCATAATCGGTTATATTTAAGGATCCAAAAACCATTTAGTTTTGATTTCCCTGTGTCCTTTGTATATTAGACATCCCACATACTAAATGATAAATATTTATGACAATGAAAAGAAGCTGCTGGGAAAGTTTAAGCAATCTTCAAGTTTTATAGATGGTAACTGAAAGTCCTGCATTAAAATAAACAAATAATAAAACAGAACCATCACCACCTATGTCAAAAAGAAAAGCAGAGCTATTTTGATGAACATGCATGCATTAAGCATGTTTTTGCAAGCAGGTACATGCTTACTTTAGCAAAAAACAATTACATCACTAACCTTTGGCTTTGTCCACTTTACATTTCTGTTCATTTGGTATCCCCACTCATGTAAGACTTTAACAAAAAAAATCGTAAATGCTTACTACCTACCTGCAAGCTGAGCTGTTATAGCTTGGAAAGGTAGTTTTCTGAATGTATCCACGAGTGGCTGTACTTTCTCTATGCTGACAAACTCATGTTTACCGTAGTCCAGTTCATATACTGACAAAAACCCATTTCTAAGAATTCCTTTTATTATGACCCTGTACCACCTAAAAAGGGGGAGAACAAGAATAGACAATTTTAATTCATATTCACACACTGTCAAGGCACCAGAAAAATAATACACGAATAAAAGAATTAACCAACATGTCTCAGACTTCCCAGATCTGGTATTATCTGAATAGAAGTCAACTCTTCCAACTACAATCTGAAAGCATGAAGAGACTGCAACCTCATTTACCCCCTTAATCTCTCAGCTATCATTGGACATCTGCCACCTTGTTAACAATGCGGACAAAGCAGAGCTAGGCTTGCCTAGCTTAGCAGAGCTAAGCTTGCCTTCAAAGATTTTGTTTTTAGTTTAAGTATGTACTTACTGATTTTCAATTTTAGCTGCATACAGCTTGTTTTTTTCAATGTTCACAGCTTTCTCTTCTGCCCTGCTGTAGTACAAGATCATTTCTTCCATAAGGGCTTCCAGATTATGTAGCTCTTTCCAAGGCTGGAGAATAAAGTGACCTGGATGGCAGGCCACTGAGACATAGACATCCATGAGCTCACCAGTCTTTGACAAGGGTAGAGGTGGAGGCATGTCGATGGTAGACACTGCACTGCTGGGTTCTCTGGCTGAATCAGAGAAACTCTTCTCTAGCCTTCCACTAGTTAACCGCAGAGCTGAAACACCATCACCTGTCGCTTTTGTGGAGCTAGTCCCACTGGGTGTAACACTCAAGAAAACATCTTTCTGATGCTTCCACAAGTCTGCATTTTTGATCTGTCGATTGACGCTATGATCCATGTCTGGGAAATTCTCTGGAGCAAACAAGTAAACGTGTGCAATTCCCTTTGAACCATCCTGTTTAACCACCTTGGAAAACAAAATACAGTTTAACTGCCAGTTAATAACTATTAAACGCACATCTGATTCTGTATAGTAGACTAAAGCCGTTAACAGAAAAGCAGCAACAGTTCATTGCATCCTATATGCACAGAAGTATTTTCAAGGTTCTCTCAAGTATGTTAATGAAGTTGGTGGATAGTAATCAATTCGCAGCAGCTAAAAAGAGCATTTGCATCTGTTCCACTAATGTAAAGCAAATACAAGGCTTGACTTGAGTTTTGTTCTGCCCAGCAGGTTCAATCTCCGTACTACGTGTACAATTCTACTTTTCAGGGGAACAATAGCCAGTGTGCATACGGATCTAAACAACTAAGTAATGCTATTAAATATTAACACTTAATCCTTCAAAATTCTCTTCATTATGGGAGATGAAGCCTAGTAAATTAAGGATGGGAAAAAAATAAAGATGAAAAAAGCTTCCATGTTTGTATCACGCGTAATTTTCAAGCGCCAACATAAAAATATTTCCTATTTAACATTAGATATGCTAGCATTATTGATAGTAAAGCACGGAAATTTTAATTTGACAAAGTATATAACATTCTTTACAGATTATTCTGTTATTTGCCTAGCCAGGAATAAAAACTTTCCACAATTAAAGAATACATCTGTCGTCTATTATTTAATCAAGCAAAAATTAGTACCAGACTCAACCTATCTTGAAAGAGAATGTTTAGAAAAGCCAGATGCAACAGTCATAAGTCCCAAACTAGAGGAGCTATGTTTTAACTATACAGTCTCCAGTGTTAAAGCAAGCAAAAAGGTAAAAGAAAGCTACAAAATACTATTTCAAAGTGCTGTGACAGTATCTGGAATCAGATTTTTAAGAGGAAATTAGCTTTGTTTAGTGTGTAGCTAGTAATAGATTTCCTTTAGAAGGGTGTTTTCAGTTAATTAAACTGGATAGGATACATTGCAAGTGGAAATAATTTTATCTCAAAGATAACAGAAATTCTAAGTATACAATAGCATATACTAAATCACACTGAGTTAGAAAAAGCAAACAAAAAATAAAGCTGCTTTCCAAGATCAGGAGGAGAAAAACCTGTGCTTACAAGAGGCATAAAAATAATTTAAGATGAACTCAACCGTTGTATCTTTTTATGTGGTGAAACATTAACAACTGCATTTGTTTCTTATCAGTTGGTAAAATAACTCTAGCTGCATATTTGGACTGGGACAGCAAAATGTGAAAGGCTAATGTGAAATTTGCTAAATTCTTGAGGGGAAAAGAGAAGCTTTTATGCCAAATGTCCTAAGAGAAGGACTTTGTATAGAATTCATGTCCAAGAGCCGACTACAAACTTTTAAACTTCTATAACAAAAATCAATTTGATGAGTGGTTAAGCTTCTAGAGTTGTTCTTTCGATGCTCTTTCCAAACACCTATGGATCTCAAGTCACAAAGGCATTTTGACTATTTACCTTCATGCTAAATTCAGGACAATTCATTACAGTGTCTCTCAGCCACAGTACAGCATCTGGAGTCCACATGCCAGTGTTAGGAGGCAGATCTGCTAGGCAGCATTTTATAGCCTAAGAACACAATTAAGTACACAAGGTATAATTTAGTAATATGGAAATTAGTCTGCAATTTTCTATTCACAGAAACTCCATTAACGCTGACAGACTCAATAACGTATGACAAACAGAAAGAGATAGATGAACATGCAAAACCAGTACCATTCCACAAACACAACATCCTGTCGATACACAGGACTACATTATGATTTATTTCAGGCAAAGATGCAAAATGAAATACACTCCAGTGTTGAATGCTATTAAACAAACTAAAATTTAATTACATAAACCTTGAAGTAGCAGCACTACAAACCTGCCAAGAGATCTAGCATAGGTTAGCTTTAACATGTCTTTATACCTGAGGAGGTATTGCAATTACTTCTCTCAGGAATTGTGGTGGGATTTCTCTAAGCTCTGATACTTTTACAGTTGCAACTGTTCCAGTGTCCATGAACTGTACATCAAGTGCTCGTCTAGTGTGAATAATTCTTATCTGAAAGAAGAAAGCAAGAGCATCATTTTGAGGTTAAAAACACAAGAGTGACACATATACTATAAGAAGTTTCATGGAAACTAAGGCTTCAGATTTAGGTGAACAAAAAGAAGAGCCATTTCTATGTGTGAAAACCGTAGCTGTTCTTTGAATACTTCTTACCTCTACACGTGCCCATTTTCCTTTGGAAGGAAACAAGCAGATTTTGCCACAGAAAGGTAGTGATACATTAAACTCAGATGTCTGCTGCAAATATAAAAACAGAAGTTAAAAAGCTTGGAGCTATTACTATCTGGCACCAACTAACAATTTCAAAAATCACACATGGAATAAACAGTTCTGAGAAGCAAAAGCTCTGTTTCAAACATAAAGTCTCTTTCCAGCCTCAGAAGCATTTCTTATCACATTGTTTTAAGCTTCCCCCATCAGTAAAACTTTAATGCCAAGCTGCGTATCTTACGGGGAAACAGAGAATATAAAGTGCCAGGGGCAAAAAGCCGCATTTGGAAACACAGAATATGAAATCACCGACCATTACTTTAATGTTCTGAAAAGCCAGAGCATTTTAGAGCTGTGACAGACAACTGAAGAAGCTCCTACCTTATATTCTAGAATACATAATTTGTTGAGATATTTAACAAACCAAACTAGTGACTCAAATGAAAGTCCCATGGGGGTGACATTCACCATGACGATCCGAAATAACATAACAAGACAATGGCTACACTATAAAAAGCATGAAGAAACTCCACTTGAAGACCCATCAACACCTTAGTTTGTTTAAATTCTCAGGCAAAATAAATGCCCTCAGGATAAGCTGCAAAGTCAAGATTGCTTCTTTTACCCCCATATAAAGACTGGTATTAAAAGATTCTGAATGTCAAGGTCTCTCTTTGACAGCAACAAGAACCTAACATACACTCTGTCCAGATAATCTGAACTTTTGAAATATCTGTCTGGCTGCCTGCCTTTGTGTTGCTAAACTTTTCAGGGTTCTATACGCCTTCCTTCAGTGTTTAGCTTGCTTGAAACTAAATCTTGATAACTGACACTTGTTGAAAATAAAGTATTTTCAGATGGTGTGTGTTCCAGAACAGTTTAAAGCTCAACTTCTATACCTAAAAACACCTTGACAGAGTAGTTTCACAAGCAGCACTTCTAACAGGATCTTCAAGGACATGCTTGTCATGGTTTTATTCTCTAAGGCTCAGTTGAATTTTGAACAAATTAGATTCTCTTAAGATTTCTTCTCTTTTATATACATTCTCTTGAGTCTAGTAAGGGTTGTTGCATGTGTCTGTAAATGGCTGGTGGAATGTCAGACTTCTCTGCCGCATGCCTATTTTAAAGTAACTGAAGACTTTTGGAAACGCCTCCTACACATCAGTTCTAGTTGAAATTAGCCACAACATTCAAAAGCTAAGGGTACAAGGACAAGATATGCAGCAGATCAGATCAAAGCCATCAAATCTCCAAGGAAGTGAGGTTAAAAAGAACAGACTTTGGTTACACTGCTTTTATTGTCACTTTGCAGGGTGTGCTGTGGGCCAGGCTGTTTACGCACCTCAACTCTATCATGTAAGCAAAACTTCCAGAAGAAAAATATGGCAATATCTCCACAGGCTTTATACCAATCTGATGCAGTTTCCACTGGAAGCTTCCCATTATGAGCCATATTGTTACTGTTCTAACTATTCAAGGAAAGTTACAAGCAGTTACTGAAGCCTTAGAGACGGCTTGTGAAAAAGAAAGCATCAAAAGACACTTTCCATGCTGAAGGATGCACCCCAAACAACTAGGAAGAGAATTTATAGCCTTTTTGAATAGTCTACAGGCTACCTCAGAAACTTGAACTTACGTGCAAGGAAAATGATTGGTACAGTCTGAAGAAAGGCTACACAACTTCACTGCCTCTCACCACAGAACCTACCTTGTAATGGAAGTAGTCTTCTATTTTCTGCAAGATTTCAGAAAGTCTAGACAAGCCTTTAGATGGCACTTGGCAATACAGGCTTCCATCAGAGAAAACGCTGGTTACTCTGACATTTGTATATAGTGCATCTACCTGCAATGGTAAGATTTTGACAAGAAAGGGGGGAAAAACATACACACAAACTTAGCAAATTTCTGAGTACTGTTTTTTGTCCATCCAAGACCTTAGCAGTCAATGATTTTTAATGAATTAAGAAAGAAACAGGAAAATGGTACCTGTAGGTGCAGTTCAAGGGACTTGTCATACAACGCCTTCAGGCAAGTAGCATTGATATTGATGTCGTCTTCTCCGGAAGTGTCATAGAGAACAAGAAGAGGAATATCACTCTTTTCCAGTATTTCCACAGCAAATATCTTGGAGCATGTCTGCAATTCCACAGTCTTTACTAGGACAGGATCATCACAGAAGACTTCCAGCCCTGTAAGACACACCATACTTTTTATGTATCACTGTATTTGAAGGGAAAGATCATAACCAGGTCTGTGTTTGCAACAGGAATCTTTCCAAGAATCAGGATGTACCAGCAAAGTTGTACTGCACCCCTACTTGCATTCTGCTTAATTTCCACCTTTTTAACACAGAAAGCCATCTTTGGGGGGGAGAAGGGGAGAAAAAGATCCTCTTCAGAAAGGGTCAAGGCAAACGTGTGAGAAAAAAGGAATGTATCCAAATCTTAAACAAGCAAACAAAAAGCTCATTCATGGCAATTTTATATATTTAAAATAAAATATTTTTTAAAAGTTAGAAATGCCTACCAGTTTTAGGAAGGTAAATAATTTCCAGCAGAGTCAATGAAGCACGTAAGTATGCAAGTACTGAAAGGGGAAGGATCACTTTAAAATAAGTAAAGAGGATCATATTTAGGAATATTGCCTGACCCGGCCACAACACATGTGCCTCATTTGTGGAAAAAGGAGTTGTGCTAGTACATTGCTTCACACAACAGCAAATGTCTCCTTGTATTTCTTTAGGCTCGCATATATTAAAGGGACAATGACATCCAAGCTAAGTGCAGAAACAACTAAGCTCCATTACAGAGAGACTGGATATCAAGGTCTTCTAATATCAAGGCTTCTTTAGAAAACTCTCCTTCACATCCATCCTTCCTTCCTTTTCCTTCTTTCCATGCCTACCTGTGTCTGCTTAGACTAGCTGTCTTGGACAAAATCTAACATACATATTGTTATTACAAACCAGGATTAAAACTCCCAGACTGAGATGCTTCAATCCATAAATTGTGCAAATGCAAGCTGTGTAGTCAACACTGGCTTTCTCTTACCTGCCAGTTTACATTTTGCAGCTTGAAATGGAAGTGAATGGAACTGTTTCTGTAGTTTGTACACACTGTTGCTTTCAACAAACTCACTGAAGCCATGATCAACATAGCATACCTGATAACGGAAAAGGGAATAAAAGCATAAGATCATGAACATAATTGTAAATGTTTTCTTGAGTCTAGGGAAAATGTATTCAGTTACCACATTCTCTGTGCAGCCACAGACAAATCACTTTTCACTAATTTAGTGCTATATAATGCCATTAATCTCATGTTTATTTCACTGCTTGAATGTTCAGAGTTTTCAGGGAAAGCCTTCTTCTCAAGATCTCTGTAAAACCATCCTCTCCAACTGTTCCACAGAATCTCAGCTCTTAATAGGAACAGTGCTGGAAGGACTCACCACATTATGTCAAACCACATGAAGAAATGTAATAAAGCGGCAATTTTTATTTGTAAAGTTTTGAAAGTGTTGAAAAGTCAAATAACACTTAAGTTCCATTCTATGTTTTGCCTTTTGTTTTTACAGCATTAAGAGAATCATTTTGATTTATGTTTATAGTAACTTTGATACAAATACCACAGTCCATGCAGGAAACCAGTAGGGAAACTGCTGATTGGCAGCAAATAATTGGAGCTAAAGTGAGAGAAGGAACGCTTTGACAGGTCTTTTTACAAGTTTTTTCTAAACTCTATCATGCAAAATGTCTGCATACCAAACACTGAAAAGGGAGTCTGAACATTGTGTCAGAGGATAATCAGCAAATGCTGCAATAAAGCAGTAGTCTTTTGGCTGATAGCTGTCATTAGAGAGAAATTAGAGGCAAGCTATGTCCTTGACACTGCTCTAAACCCAACAATCCTTCACAAAAATAGTGCTACTACACCCATTCCTCCTAAGACTATGAAAGGCACGTTTTCAGTACAGAAGTGCTATAGGGCCCAGCCCCATATAAAACACAAAACAAAACCCCAAAACTCAAACTATTTACGGAAAAAAACCTGAAAGACCATTTAATTTTGGCAATCACATAACTTCAAAAAAGTCTTAATTTCTCATATAACTGAAAATAGAAGTACTTCAGGGCAAGAAAGGAGAGAATGCTAGCGCAGCATATTTAGGAATTGACTGTGTATCTAAAAAGCAAGATTGTTTCAAGTCTTTCTCCAAGTGCCAAAAGAAGTAATTGCTTGCCTTTATTTTGTTGTCTTCTAGAGAAATTATCCGAGCACGCAACCAGGCATCTTCTTCAGCATGTACTGCAACAAGTTGCCCAACGCTCAGAGACTGAGCTGGTGACACTGTACTGTTCTGACTATAGTACGCTTTCATGTCATCTTCCATTTGTTCCTGGGCGGAAGAATAATCTTTGCCCACATACCTACAGTATTTTACAAAAAAGACACCAGAAGAGTTAAGATGTAACTTCAAAAAGCTGAATAAAAACCTAAGAACATTTATGTGCATATATGAATATAAGTAAATTATGGATATACACATTTTCTAACCACATCAGTATCCAAACTCTTTTCCCATTAACAGGGCTATAGAAAAGTAACTGACATAAAATTTAGCACTTTTGTTGACAGCTGAATGTGGTCCAGCAGTGTATAATCTAACATGCTCAACTAGATCTTTAGTAAGAGCTCTTACTTGAGTATTACAGTCATGTGAAGCAACTTGACCACAAGAGCAGAGTACTATCTGGGACCAAGTATAAAGAAGAACTAATACGTCATCTCTGAAGTTACTCTGTCATTAACAAACACGAACTTAATCAGGTTTTCATTAAGGTTGATCAAAAACAAAGCATCCAAAATAACTTCATAAATCAGCTGTCAAACCATGTGCTGTTTACTTTCGGCCTTCAGAACAATCTTGATACTATGACTGCTGACCTAATGGTTCATACTGAAGCAGTTTGTGTTGCATAGATCTTCTTTAACAAAGTATATAAACTTACTGAAAACTCCAAATAGCAAGTTCTGAATGCTTCAGAAACAAGTCATATTAGAGCAGACAAAAATAAAACTTATTCCCAAATTTGTGTTAGTAGCTACTGTTTTAACTTGCTCATAGAGTTACTAATATGGCTCATTCCTACTACACAGTTTAGATTATCATCCTATAAAAATCTAGGTTCATTCTGATGGTCTGCTATATCCCCAGGATTAGTACAGATATTATATCTGAGCACATTCCAGGGAACCCTCATTTTCCTAAAGACAGCCTCCTACCTCACCGTCCAATTATATACTGCTTTTCAGAATGACAGCCCTTTTGTTTCTATGTAAGAACTCATCTACTTCCTAATGGACATGGAGTGGGGCAAGTCACGTATGGGTTTATTTCTTAACATTTGTTTCATAAAGATACTTAACAGACAGTAGGAGTATCTTAACAGAAAGTAGAAGAATCTTTCAGAACTTCCTGCCTCACTCACTATTTTCTGGTAATAGATGAGCATCATACTGAAGAAGTTTTTGCCTGCTCAAAGCCAATTGAAAAATTATTTTTTAGATTCTTTAGAAAAGAATCTTGAAAAGCAACCTCAAAAAAGTGTGTTAGAGACTAAGCTATGTGCAGGTGGCCAGAAACTGCAACCTTGCATTCAGCACCACTCTTAATCTCAACTGGAACCAATTCACATGCCAAGTAAAGCTTGCTGCTTCATTGTGAAAGGAACAGAGGGGTATGCTTCCATAGTGAAACAAGCTATAAAATTTTGTCTATTCAAAAAGATAAAAGAAGAGGAAAAAAGGTACCTGACCTGTAGCACAGAAACTCAAGGTAGTTGAGAATAAAATGTGATAGTTAATTATTTCTTGTGAGAATTCAAATGTAGCACCTAGTGTATGATCTCTGTCTTCAATCACACTGTTGTAGATGTATAGCAAATATCTAGGAGTGTTTCTATCACCTCACTTTCATTCTGACTGCATCAGAATTCTTACAGAATTGTACCACATCTCAAAATCGAAATAGCACTAAACCTTCCAGCTTTGTCTTAATTAGTATTGCAAAGGTTTCAGCCAAACAACATTTAGCCACATAACAAGAAAGTAAAGAGATAATGCTCCATCCCCAAGACAGAAAGAGGAATCTTGATTTTATTGATCCTGCAAAAATCAATATCAACCAATAGCCGCTACACAGTTCTTGTGTAGATCAGGAGAAAGTGGCTGCTAGTACATGCACAGGAAAGGTGAGTCCATGCATTGTGTCCTTCCTATACAACTACATGAACATTCTCTTGTCATGTCAAAAAACTATTCCCTTCAGGGCTAGTTTCACCTGGAAGATAAATGACATTGTCCATGAATGACATAGATAACCCTAGGTAGTCATTTCTGTATTCTGGACCAAGAAACCACTAATCACCACCATGTGCCTATACAGAGCTGACAAATTCAGAAACTTTAATATTGTCCAAGAACCATGGTCCAGAATTTGGGAACTGCTGCTTTAGAGAAATTTTAACACAATCGCCCTCAGCTCATCAGTGTCATACGGTAGTTTAACCCATGGGCCTTGAAACATTCTCCCAAATGATGAGTGGAAACATCCTTAAAATAACAGATTAGAAAGCTAAGATTTGTTACTCCACATATACAGCAAGTTATCAATGCTGCAAGAATTAAAAGGTGTACAGTGAAAAGGAAAAAGTTTTGCAGCATTAAGTCCCACCTGCATAGCAAGCTGGAAGTAAGAGACATATAATTTGTTCCTGCTCTTCCCAATAAAAAACATGCAATATGCATCGTGTCTAACTGTTTCAGTATCTCTATGTACAGATGATTACACATCTTAAATTGTCTGTCTTTCCTGGCACTATTCATCTTCATCATCTTTCATGTCTTAGACTAAATTCAAACAGACCTCTCACAGGAACAACCTAAAACATAAAGCCTCTCTTTTCTTTGATGTAGTTCTTTCTCCTGTGATTTTTTTTTTTAAGCTTAGGCTCACTCACAAATTCCAGCTGTGTCGTCTTCGCTAAAATGATTGACTCATCCAGCCGGAGATAGTACAAATGTTAATGATGGATGAAGAATCTTGCCTTAAATTATGCTTTGTGGTAAGACAAAATAAATGTATAAGCAATGTACAAAAAACCCTTATCTAAGAAAAAGCACAATATAGGAATGGCGCTAGCAGCTAAAACAAAGATGACAACATTCTCAAATGAGAATTTCTCTCATAACCCCCAAGTATGGGGATTTTCACTACAGATTATCAGCCATTAAGATTCCATGACTTCAGGGAAGTAGAATGGTGAACTGACACATAAAGTTAGTTCAAGGTTGAGTATTCCAATACATTACTGATAGCTCGAGAGAAAAAGCATATCTAAATTTCAGCCTTAAGGCTACCGTGTTGAATACTGCCAACCAGCAATGAGGAACAGGGTATTAGTTTCATAGTGAAAGGATCTGTAAGTAAACTGCACACACACTTATTTTGATCCTAATCAGGACCTCTGAGAATGGCTGAAACTATCTAATGAAAGCTGAAACTGCAGAAACTAGTGGGAAAAAACAGAGAGCTGTCAATATAGTGTATTACCACATAGTTGTTCAAGTCATCCTTTGAAGTGACATATACAACGTTTTAAGATTAGGCTCGATTTTAAATAATTTTCAAAATGAAATATCCTCTATAAAAAGTGTTTGGGTTTTGTTGGTTGGTTGGTTATTTTTCTAAGTTTTAAAGAACTGCTAGGATTTGTGTGTTTTATCCCAACAATGAAGTACAGAAAGCTTATCATGGTATTTCCTGAAACAGTACAATAACATATAAGTAAGATAGCCACTACAATCCACGTCTTACACTGTCCTCTAAGGCTGGGCTGATTAGCAACCGAACTAAGAAGCACTAATAGTTTATTGTTGGATGGAAGCTCATCTGTCCCCAGAAGTGAAAACTGCCATGTAATCTGAACACACTCAAGTCACACCTACTTAGTAGTAAATCAGTTATAGAAGTAAAAAATATTTTAATATGTATTGCAGCAATATCTGAATACTACTATGTGTTATAGTAGGGTTATTTTAAACAGTCTTCCAACGGCAAGTTAAATCTGCTTTGATTCTCAGACAAGCTAATGATAGAACTGATCAGCTCAGCTCAGAAAAGTTTCAGAAGATTTCAACTTAAACACACAAACAAAAGGATTCTTAAGTTTCATTATCAAAATAAGTAAATAACAAAGTCCTGCAACCTCCTGTTCATCTGTTCTCTTATGGCAGACCTGCACAATATGAATATATGGATTTATAGATAGAGCAAAAAGATAGATTTTGAAGTACAAACTTGCCTAATTAGGACCTCATTAGTGTTTTTCAGTTCTAACACCATGACGGACACAGATCCTTCTGATGGAATGATTAGAGGAGGAACAGTTATGTTCTCTGGATACTGGTCCTTGGATTCTTCATACTGTTGTTCAGCTGTGGCCTTCACACCATCATGCCTCTGGACTTTCTCAGTGACATTCAGGTTTTCATCAACATGTCTTTGGGGTTTAGCATAGAGGATGGCCTTTCTGGGGACTTCAGATACGTAGTCCACTATACATACATCTGAGAGCAACTCTAGATTATTTAGAATGTCTTCTGGAAATTTTACTTGGTAAGCATCTTGGTATAATTTGGGAAGTGCATTAGCCCAAAGACCACTGGAATACTTCATCAAGATGTTAACAACTTTCTGCTTGACGTCACTACCAAGTGATGCAGGTGTGCTCTCTGTATTTCGTTTTAACAAAGGGTCTGCTTTTGAAGAAGGAACATTCTGAGATGCCTTTTCTTGCTGTGTATCACTTTTTGCTATCTGTGGTATTTTCTTAGCAGGATAAAGAAGCCCATCCATCTGATCACCCCTGTGTACTTTCTCCACCTTGGAAAACAAAAAGTACAGTCAATAATCAGTTGCATCTCTAAGTCAAAGTAATTTTGCCAATTACATTTTTATAACACTCATTTTATACAGACTTTGAAGTGGACATCCACAGGGAACTAAGCCTGAGGCAGTTACTACAGGGTAGCATTTCTCATAATGCTTCCTCCTCCATTTTGAAGGATACCAAACACATATGACTACATCAGTACAGGGCAAATATCTAATCTATGCAATACAAGTCGGACTTGCTTCCAAAGAAGTATAGTGTGTCTTTTCTCCTAGAAGGACCAGAAGATGATGACACACTCCACAAACTTAGGTCTTTTGCACATTAAGCCCCCTCAATCTTCCACACAGGTAAGCATATCATAAACAAACATTTCTGTCTCAGTTTACTGAGGCAAAGGGGATTTGACTGTATACTTCAGAAACGAAGAGGACAGTGTTGTAAAGGCTATCTGCTGTCACACTCAGGGAATTACTTCTTCTTTAAGAAAGTTCTGAAATTAAAGAAGAAATTTCTGGATCATAATAAATTTCATAATAAATTTGATTAGGCCATTTTAAACCATGCCCACAGCCTCCCTCCAGACCCAGATGTTTTGCCAGTCCATATGTCTCTACCCTTTGCTCAGTTCAATAATAACCATCTCACATGGTCTGAAGTCACAACCTTGAAAGCACCATTTGAGAACTGTAGAAACAAACTCACAATAAAATTCCACTTCCTACAGCTATGCAGTTTCAACCTAGATCAACCTAACTGTAGCTTAGCAGGAATATCTGTATAGAATTGAGATAAGAATAGCTGTCAGTGTTTTCACACTGGTCCCAAAGCAAGAACAACTCCTGCAATAAAGGAAGTTATTAAGGTTTACGTAGTTCCACCTTGATGTTCCTTCCTCAGAGGAAACAATTCTCATCAGTTTCCTGGGTCCACATCACACCAAAGTCCTTTCCAGAGGCAGATAAATGGACAAAACATTGAGTAGCTGAATTACTTGCTACTATGCAGGAGTAGCATTTACCTTTACGATATTGATGTCCGTACCCATCAGAACTTTATAAACCTTATTAAAGTCATTCTTTGCTGTTCTGTCTTAGCAACATACAATGGAAGCATAATGAAGATGACTTCAAGTATTATCTTACATAACAAGAATAACACATGTCACTCATTATCAAGATAACATTAACAAGACAAGAACATTTAGTTAAAATACATTGAAAAAACTTTAAAAAATGGCCATTACTGTGTCAAGAACCATGTATTTTCTCCTATGTGCACCTCTTCACACTCAGCCCAAATGGTCACACGATGATCTGAGTTGAGAGTCAGCAAAACCACCTAAGGGTTACTACACAAGTGCATTTCCATACACTTGCTGTGCACTGCATTGTCTAGACTGGTGCAAAAGCAAGCTATCAAAAGGTTCTTGGGAACAGGTCTTGGTCAACTTCCACAAACACTAGCACGCATGCTACCTAAAACTGACACAAAGGAAATAGTTTCCATAGACATAAAAAAATATTAACCACATTAGAGAATTCTCATGCATTCATGGTGGCATGTCTAAATCCTTCTTTATCAATGAAAACCAAAGTAGCAATATTTTCTGCAAGAATAAGACATGAGAAGGCAAAGAAACCTAACAACCCTCAGCTCCCTGAATTCATATGAACGAGTCCACAAGCTCCAAGACTCGAGTCTTTCCAAGTAGGCTCACTAAACCAAGGAGATATTCCCTCTTAATTGGGGGGAGGAGAGAAGTAGTGTCCTATAGATATCCATTTACTAAAGAATATGTATCTACTATATGATAAAATATAAACAAATCATATGAAGGACTCCAATGTACCAGTGGTACATTTACCAAGTTCTTAAGCATCTCTGCTAGTCAGCTTGATATAAGAGATGACAAAACATGCAACCTAGAAGCACCAAAGATGTCTTCAATGATTCATGACAGGAAGAACCTACATTTGTACCCTCTGGTATCAGGAATCTTATTGTGCCTCTTGAACCACAGGTGAAGAAAGGAACTTGGTTAAAAAGCCAAACAAACAAAAACTTATCAAAGCCTTGCAAGGGCTTTGATATACAGTCAAGAGACCAAAGTATATCAAGTGGCCCAGAGAAAATATCAGGCCACACCACCTTGGCAGGTAATGACAGCCTAGATACAGAGGAATTGATAAGGATGTCCCAAGTGTCCATGCACAAGATTGAGGAATTTGTTTAAATGACCAGCCAAGGAAACTTTTAGCTCCAGAAAATACTTGGCATTATCAGGACAACAATCTGAGAAGGCTGTGTTGGAATGTGTGGCAGTTCACCCTGAAAGAAGCTGGATGCAAAGGCCTACCTTTATGCACCCTTTCTCTTAGCTAGCTCCTTTTAACTAGTGCTGCAACATAGATGAATAAATTTGAGCTGACAGGACTATTAAACCTTACACACTAAAGACTGGCAGCAGACTAAAGAGAGAAGATCCTTAGAGGCCTTTAAGCCTCTTAACTCCAATAATAGCTCTGAGGCACTGAAGCTCTGTTTTGAAGAGACTGTAGATGCTGACAGAGCGAACCATTTAAAGACAGAAAAATGCTATTTCAGGAAGATAGTTTAGCTTACTTCAGTATAAATAAGCTCAGGTGGACGTCATTAGGCTATTATTTCTTGCATAAAAGTTAATGTTCAAGATGCAACAGACTCCTCCAAACAGTGCTATGGCCAAGACACCTTCAAGAATGCACAACACTACAGAATCTTTTAATTATAAGCAAACAGCTTCACTTGTGAAGAGCACTTCAAAACAGCCACCCTTTCTTTAGCACAAATATCTCAACTTTGTTCCCAGTTGAGTTTATAGATTTGCCTGCAAGGTACTTCCCGTTAGTATGGCTGGCAGGCCTGCTTTGCAAGCACAACATGCCTGTTGTCACCTCTCCATTAGAGAGCACAAAGCAGAGTCAACAACTGTAAAAATGTATTATCAGGGCAACAGAGGCTGCAGTCATTCTACACAGAAGAAAAAGAAAAACATGTTTGTCCTGGGCCTGAGTAACAGAGGGAGCTCTTAAAAATTAAAATCTGGAGCCCAAAATAATAAAACTTGAAATAAAAATATACTCCCAAGATAAATACTAACACTGCAACTGAGTAAGTCAAGTGGAACGCAGAAGAGCAAGTCCACTCCTTTTGACATACACCTATAGAGGGGATGAAGGCAGACATGCTCCTGTATGTGTTGCTAGGACAAAAGCTTTGTGTATGTGTGCTTGACAATGTGCAAGTAAACGACTACGCTAATATATACAATCATCAAAAGAAAGGATACACTTTGCGATTTACCAGAATGACTAAGATAACACCAAGTCTTGTTTAATTGTGCCTACAGTGATGATCAAAGGGCAGGTACACTGGCAAACTCCTACAGCACCAACACATTCCAGGAAGGAAGTGGAGAAAACACCTCCTTGAAATGAGAGATTCTAGTCAGAGAAAGTGTCCTTGACCTTCAAGGTTCACAACTAGCATATGCAGCTATTTTCTGCCATTCTTCTGCAAGGCAGGGAAAGGAAACGTGCAGTGGAAGTTGGCATTTAATGTCAGTGAAAGTCTCATCATATGTAGCAAACAGGAAAAGTCTGGCTCCATGATTCTTGGTATCAAACAGGTCCTCAAAGACTGCTCTAAAACACACTGATCAGAACTATCATTCTGATTCAGTGAGAATAATTCACCAGAAGTGTGAAGCATGAATTCTTTCAGATCTCATTTAAATATTCTCAGGTTGATGTATAAGCACAATAAAAGGCCACTACTAGAAGGTAGCCAGCACCAAGAATGGCTGGAAAGAATCAGCTGTGGAATAATTACATATAGGCAGGTTGAATCAGCACCTTAGAAGAGCTGTACTGGGTCAGAACAAAGATGTTCCTAGCCCAGCATCCTTTTTGACAACAGCAGGGGCCTAGGAAAAAGCATAAGGGATAGGACAAATGTAGTGGTACCTCTTCCTCCCATTTTGCATACTCCATAGTTCAAGCACTATCAGGTAATGACAGTTTCTTTGGAATGAAGTAGTTCATGATGACTAAGGCCAGAGATCATCCATTCATCAGTGAATGTAATCAGTTGCTTTTGAATTCAAGATGATATCATTCCCCATTTACCTTCTCCAGGTCTTTTTATTATTTTATAGCCCATACCTCCATCTTTCCCCACCTAAACCATCTAACTGAACTGTTGCTCATACAGAATCCATTACTTATCTTTACCCGTCACCCTTCTGAGTCACCCTTTCACTTTGCTTGATCTCTCAATGAGTTTTTGTTTGTGTATTTTCTGGGTAGAGATGGGAGAAGCACATCTGATTTTGACACATGCTTACACAACATGTTTCCCCAGTGGTAGTGTTTGCTATTTTGTTTTCTATTCATAAGAATAGAGACAAGACTGTCTTTCCAGGGAAGTTCGCTGCCTCCCTGAGGCCCAAATTAGAGATGTCACCAGACAACTGAATAGCTTAGTACAGCTTTTGGACTATTATGCACTCCTGCTTTTTCATGTGGGTACTAATGTTGCAACAAAAAGTCTAAGGTTGACCAAAAGAGATTTCAGGGCCCTGGGAAGAATGCTAAAAAATTCAGGAGCGCAGGTAGTACTTTCCTAAATCCTCCCAGTAATGGGGAGAGACTTTGGAAGAAACAGACAAGCTCAAGATATAAATACCTGACTCTAGGACTGCTGCCTCCACCAAAGCTTTGGGTTTTATAACCATGGAAGAACCTTTGAGGCACAAGGTATGATGGGGCCTGACGGGATCCATCTGTCCCAATGGGGGAAAAGCATCCTTTGTTGTAAGCTGGTGGACTGATTGAGAGGGCTTTAAACTAGAGTCACTGGCGGAAGGGGATACCAACTGGAGAGCTGAAGGTAAGACAAGGGTTGGCAAGGCATCGCCCGAGGTTGGCGATGCTAGTGGGAACATCTACACTGCTCCTGGGAGAACAGAGGGCTCAGGAGCACATCTGAAATGCTTGTACATCGATGCACACAGTATGAAAAATGAACAGGATGAACTGGATGAACTCTTTTTTTTCTTTTTCTTTTTCTTTTTTTTTTTCCTCACTGCTACAGATCATGAAAAGAAACACAGGACTACGTAAAATAACATTTGGCAAATGAGCACTCAGATATCTGTAGGGTACTGGCATCTTCCACAAAAATGACATTCAATACTTACTGTGCACACATGAGGCCAGTTCTCAAGCTGACGGAGCACTGCTGTGCTAAGCTCCTCCCAGTACATTTCCCGGTAGATCTGTGGCATCTTTGATACCCAGACACCACTGCTGCACTTGCTCAGAATCTCCTTAATGCGACTTTGAACTTCATTGACATGAGCAGCAGAAGGGCCAGAGGCAACAGTATGTGTCTCTGCAATGGATGTATTCAAGTTATCTGTTAAACAAAAATACGGTCTTGAAGTAAACATAGCCTTATCAGCAGAGAGAAAGACAAATGATTACCTGTCTACTCAAAAACTAAACATGGGAGCTGCCAGCATAACACCAACTCTAAAATGTAACTCTCCTGCCCAGCATGGCTGTTTCAGTCACTTTCTACCGGAAAGAGCCATGGAAACCTCAGATATTTACTAATTTACCTGAAGCTGAATTTTCAATCACTGTAGTTATTTTCATAAGAAGTTTCTGAAGGGATCCTGGAAGAGGTTACAGAACCCTCAGCCACACTGTTGCTGAGAAGGCTGCACTGAGGCAGTGTCCCAAGAGGGACACAAGATAGTTTCTTTATGAGTACAAAGACAACAACAAAGATACAGCAAAACACCAAAGGATGTTCTTCTAAATTCAGACAGATGTACAAAACAGACCAATGATTTGCCTTTCATTCTAAGATACGTCCTGGGGAAAAGTCTGAACCCAGCACCCAGCCTTTCTGTGCTACTACATCCAAGGAATCCCTCCATCGGAGCAGGGAA